CAGCTGTGGCCGCTCATGTCTCTGCACGGTGCCCGGTGCCCTGAGTGCCACAGGGAGGAGCGACGGGGGCACCCCTTCCGGTCACCGTGCTGGCCTGCGCCAGGGCCCGAGGGTGGGCGGGGTGCACATCAGGACAAAAGACAGAATGGGGCCGGGCCCATGACCCATCCCCGACCTTGGGCCCTGGACCGCCGCCCCCCACCCCGGCTTTCTCTCAGGCCCCCACGTCTGATCCCCCCTGAAAGAGGTTTGGGGCAGGGAAGCCAGAGCGCGCTGGGCGGGGCCTGCCCCACCGGGAGCCACGCCCACAGGAACCGGACAAACCCCGTCGGACCAGAAGCCAAGAGCAGCAGGGTCCAAACATGGCCCCACCAGCCGGCCACTTCCTTCCCGTCCGGAGGCCGGCCCTGCGCATCCTGAGCTTCGGGGCAGCCCCTGAGGGACCGCAGCGCCTTCCTGGGCCACGTGTCCCCACCAGGCCTGCCGGGGACGCGAGCCGACCCTGGGCCGTCCCTACTGGAGTGTGGAGGCCTGATCCCTGGCCCTGCCCTCACCATGACAACAAACCACGACAACAAACCAGCCCTGGGTCCCGCCTGACCATCGGGGCAGGACATTCCAAGGCCACTGACCCGCGCCGTCCCCCGGCGGCTCCGGCCTGAGTTTCATGGGCTGGGCTCCCGCTGGGCGAGAAACGCCCGGTGAGCAAGCTGGGCTTGACGCCTCGGGCCTGCCCCTCCTCCACACCCTCCCAGCTGGGCAGGCGGCCACGGACGGGAACACAGGCCACGGGCACCCCAGTCCACAGGGGCCTCAGCCCCGCCCTCCGTCCCAAAGAGCTTTCCACTCCCACAGCCGCCCTCGCCCCGGGAGCACGCCACCTCCCATCCAACCTTAGAGAAACCAGCGGCACCGCAGCGAAGGCACTTGCTGGGCCCTGGCCGGTGTGGCCCAGTGGGTAGAGTGTCGGCCTGCGGACCAAAGGGTCCCGGGTTTGATTCGGGTCAAGGGCACATACTTGGGTTGCGGGCTCCTCTCGGCACCTCCCCCCCTCTCAGGTGGGGCCTCGCGAAAAGTCTGCAGGCCAGGACTCCTCCTGCTGGCTGACCACAGCCCCGGGCTCCTCAGCTTACAGCCAGCAAGGCCTGGACGCCCAGGGGCAGGACAGGCCACGGCCTGAGCGCCATGGGTCCCTGGACCGCCAAGGACCTGCCTCCGTGAGGCGGGGGGGCACAGATGGAGGGGCAGACAAGGCCTCTTGCTGCA